GGTAGTTACGCGTCCCGTCCGTCCGGCTACCGTTTTACCCTAATAGGATAAAATAACCCTTATGCGGGGAAATGAGAGTGCGAGAGAGCGCGCGCGCGCGCGTTCTCCGCAACATAATTGCACTGACCAACGGCGGAAATAAGCAAACGCGATTAAGCCCCGTGCACACTGTCACGCTCGCCAGGTTTCGCCTTCGACGACGACGACGACGACGACGACGACGACGATGTAAGGGTTTCGCCAAATTACACGTCGCTGAACCGCGCCGAAATTTCCGACTTAATGGCACACGCGTGGAGGGGAAAATACGTACGTCGGATAATGACGCGTACATTGCAATTTCGTTCTTCCGTGAAATTTGTCGCCGGGACATATTTCCGGAAATAAATATCGTGAATATCGTTTTTTTTTATCTTTCTTTTTTTATAATTGGTAATTAATATTTGGTGAGATCGTGCCATTTAGAAAGTTCGTTCGGTATGTTGTGTAGATATGTAGCTTGCGCATAACTCAAAAATAATTTGTGATAATAAATTCTCAACAATGTGTTTTTACACAAGCTAAGCATCGATGTAGCACGTAGCATCGATGTTCAAATAAATAAGAAACCGGAACCTACATGTCTACATTTTTCCGTATTTAGGATGTAATTTTGACTTTACATTCATAATGTTCAGTAATTAAATTTTGATATTGAACACGCAGCATCTGTACATACTCTGAATTTCGTTTATCTTCTCTGATAGAATATAAACTCTGCCGCACATTTATGCCCAGCGGAAATTGTAAAGCGAGGATAACGATGTAGCAAAACGATACGCGAAACTCACCGAGGCCTGGCAGAGATATACGTAATGCTGAAGTAGAAAGTAAAGCTTTAATTGCTTCGAAGTTTCTACTTCGTGGCGCAAAATCATCATCATGTCATTAATGAAATTAGCCGTTATTAAGAAATATTTCGAGTAATGATTGTTTTGAGTTTTGATATCACTCAAAAGATCAGAAAAAGTGTGTGAAAAGGTACTGACTCGACTAATTAATCATGTTAATTGATGAACAGATGTGAAAGAATATAAAAGATAAACTCTGCAACGAGCTATTTAATGTTTTATATACGCTATTTGATGTTTTATTAAAAAAAAAAGACCTGATATTTTATTTAATTATTATGCTTGAGGGAATCTACAAGAAAAGAGGATAGATTAGTAAAGCCACTTACCGTTTAAGTTCAAAATTATCCTTGAACGACGTTTAACTCTAATTTCAAGAATACACTTGCTTTCACTTTTTCGAATTTAAACTTTTTGAATGAAATTGAATTGCACAAAGTGATGTTCGCAATTTTACTCTGACATTCACAAAGTAAGCGCGTAACCAACACGCGTACATTTACCCACTCGCGAATGTTACAATTTGCATCATTGCGTGAAAATATCCCGAGAATTTCGGACAGTTGATCTGAACGCCAATTTGGTTGCTTTATATTATACACAAGATTGCAGGTCGAACGTTAAACGAGGAAACTCGCCGCTTTCGTGACAGCAATCTTAGCTCCGATGGTCGGAACGTTCCTAACGAGGCACTTTATATATCTTCTCGCGTGAACCAATCCGATTGCTATTTATTACTTTTTCATAAATAAATCATTTGACGAACAGGCTTTATACACTTATACACTTTATACACTTATTTCAATTAAATTTAAAAACAGGTAAAGAGTATCAGGAAAGAGAAATTTGAGACATCGAGATGCGAGCTCGAATTTTTCGGAAAAAAATATAAAATCTCTGATTTGTTTAAAGCTTTAATATTGACAAAAAATAATTACAGAAAAAAAGAAAGAAATTTCCTTATAGTCGATCAGTTCGTCGATTACCATCACGGCGCGAGGGAGACGTATTCGATGCAAAAGAAGAACGCAGAACACGTTAAATTCAGTGTATAATATATTTTCCATATAATATAATAATTCTCGCTATACAGACATTATTTTACAAAGCATGATTTCATATGCTAAGTACTTCTTGCTGCGTTACTTAACTACTAACTACACGTCATGCGGGTCGACGTCCGTCCGCCCCGGCGGATTCTCGGCGGCGTGTTGCGTTCGCGTTTCCGCACGGGAAACCCCTCTCGCACGTTGTACAACCCCTAATTTTATACATTCATAATACTGGTATGTCCTTATCGAACGCGCCGCGTGTCGTGCCGTCGAAATATCAAAACGCCGCGCTCTCACCGGCGAGAAAAAGGGGAAAAGATCGCGCGATCTTTCCGATGCACAACGTCCGATCTCTCGAGAACACGCGTCTCGCGTTTCCGCTACGTATACTGAAATCTGAAAAATATTATGAAATATCTCGTATCTTGGCTTAAGAATTCGTAAGAACTCGTTCCGTCTTCGTGTGTCTTCACCCCGAAGTCCACGTCCGATTTCCCCCCCTTCATCGTATATTTACAGCATTCGCATTTTCAGCTACGTGTATCCGTCATATTTACAGAAAAGATGGCGCAGCTCACCTTTACGAGACCGAAATTGCGGAAATCAGCCGTCGAACAAGCTGACCCCCTACTAGAATTCCGCAAGCGGAAACCGTTCGATCGGTATACAAAACTAAAATTTCTCGAAGTTCGCGAAGAAGGTTTAACGTCTCGGTTTTCATCTCTTAGAACCTCACCGTTGATTTGATCGACGCGAAAATTAGCGCAATCTAGTTAGGTAGTGTTTTTTCAGACATCGAGTTTGCTGCTTGTTAGTATACAATCTGCTTATATCATAAGTTTCGTGTCCAGTCACATTATAATTTCAGAAAGATCTCAGCAATTTTCAGCGTAAAATCCGATATAATTCTGGGTCTAAGAGAATGGAAACGTTTCGCGCAATTGTTTCGTAAAGAAACGTGCAATCGTCATTTGACGCAAACGTCGCATCGTCATTGTCGTTTATCGTGTGAATCACTGTGTGTTGTCGTTTAACGATCACAAGGACTCATGACGAGGATTCTCTGTCCCACGTACGTAATTCATACTTAACTCATAACGACCGATACTCGTTCTCAACTAACTATCGATCTTTTTTCCCTCGGAAGGAAGAAAATATACAACCACCCTTGCCCCGTTATCGTTCGCAAATTACCGGTCGGCGTTGTCGTGCAATTTTCGGGACCGTCGCCGTCACTTATATCTCATCGATATTAATTAGCCGACCAATTCGTTCGTCTTCCCGAGGAAGAACGGGCGGGCAAAATGCCGGTTTCGTCTCGCCGACACGAGAACGCCGGTTATTTGAATAGTCGAGGCCCCCCCCTCCTCCCTCCTCCCCCCTGTTCGCGTTCGATGCCCCAATGCCGCCCCCTCCTGTCCGACTCTTTTTTGTCGTTCGTGGCGACCGCGTGTAATTTCGTGTCATTTTAGATTTCTTCCCCCGCGGCCAGATCCCCTCTAATGTCATATTAATTGTACATTCGCGTTCGTCCGCGATTGGCTCGTTTCCTGGCGCGGCTGTAACCGTCCTCGACGCACGAAACCGTCTAATCGAGACGGATTTTCTAACCAACATGGTTCCCCCGTTCGCCGGTGCGCCGTTCTGAACGAGTCGTGTTAATCTGTGCCACGATGAATTGATTGCACGTGATAAATTCGTGAAAAGCTAAATTTCGCTGCGATCATATGAATATTGATCGTTTTCTTTCTAGATGAACGAATTAATTCATACTTTCGGCATAGAATTTCATTTAAAATTGCAAGATTAAAAAAATTTAATATAAATTTGCGGCACAGTGGAAATTGTCGTGATAATATTATTTGCCTGTATAAATTCTTACATTCTGCAAAGAAATCGTCGATTTGTACGTCTAACATGTAACTATGATAAAGATATAATTTAATTTCATAAACATTGAAGAGAACAAGTTTGCAACAAAATTAATCGATATATGTATCCGAATTAAATAATTATCACAGTGTAATTAACGATAACGAATTGTTGTATCAAAACAAAAACATAAATAATTTTGCTTTGCAAATTAAAAAAAAAGTATCGGAAAACAGTACCTTTCACAAATAATAGACCGATTGTGTACGTCGTACGAAAGAGTGGAAAATGAAATAATGAATGAACGACGAATGAGTAATAATGAGTTCCCATTTGGCCGAAGGATAATGTTCCGTTGAAGCACGGGATTTTTACTTTCGTCCGCTCTCCACACGCCGATCGTATCAACGTAGAATATATTGTTTCACCGTAACCCGCCATTCACTGAACGCTCAAATCACGAAGTTCGGTTAACCGCACGATATTTCCTGTTCGCTCTCATTATCTACAAAATCCCGGACGTCCCGTGCTATGTCACTTCCTGTTCTACCTCACGAAATCGGCCGCCGTACGCCGTTCCGTACGCATCTCATTTCGACGACTTCGCTTCAGACTTGGCGAATCCCAAATATCTTCGCTTTCTCTAGATTTTAAATTAACTGCGACAACGTCACATAATCTCTACGTAGTCCCTCCTCCATGCTCTCACAAGTATACACCCCGATATATATATATATATATATATATATATATTAACTTTAA